CAGACATTCTCATACCGGCTAAAGAACATAAGACTGTGAAGAGGATATGAGAGGACAATAACTATTCTGTTTCCCAGAAACACAGATGGAATGTCAAGAGCTGATGAGCAAGCAAAATGACCAATTCTCAGTTGTCATATTAACTACCGACAATTGTTCAGCAGTGGAAGGATTTCCCTGAATCACGTGCACATCAAAACACAGCGGCTGCACACTGTCTGTTTTGCTGTTTGTAAAACAAAACAAAAAAAAACGTCCTTGTGTCAAGTTAATAAGCCCAAAGATCAAATCTGCAAGAATAACATCTAGGGAGGCTTAGAGCAGCTTTGAACATGCACAAATGAAACACACGCAGACACACAGGCTGAGCTTCAAAGTGGCCCCGATCCAGGGGAAGGTCAAGAGCAGGCAGCTATGGTGCTGTTTGATGTAGTGACCTGCACGGGGATCACTGAGTGGACTCTGAACGGATTCTGAATGGACTGGTCAGTTGGTCATGAGAGTGTGTTTGTGTATGTGAGGATCACAGGGGTACCCGGTCAATTAGAAAGAGAGGGGAGGGAGGAAGAAGGAGATGGAGATGAAAGTGTGTCACAGGGTGGTGCTGAAGATGGAGGATTATATGGTATAGAGGGATGTAAAGTGAAGTCCCTGCATCAAAGACAGGGTCACAGCTTTTTAAGCCACTGCACCATACACACAAGCACAGACTAACACCTTTAGACAAGCCTGTGACACAGTGGCTTACTGACAAACAGAGGAAGAGACAGGGATTTACAAAAGTCAGCAAGCCAGCCAGTGTTTTTCTGTGTTCAACCATGAGCCTCTCTGGGGGGGAAAACAGAAAATGATGAGAAGTTCCTACACTGTGTATGAAGAAACCTCACAAACGTGAGTGACAATCACTGATGGGTTTTGGACAGTGACACTAAATTTTTTTATCTTAAACACATGGCAGTTGCTCTCACATCCATCATGTGGTGCTGACAATTACCCTGGTCAGCGCACACACACACTGTGTTGAGCTATTAATGCATATGTACATCTTCAGTTTACCTTTAGAAGTAGTGTGGGACTATGTGAAAATACCAGTGAAAACACTTGGGTTTGAAGAAAGAGGTTACACTAATACAGCATGATGAAATTGATGACTGATGTGGTGACTTTATCATCATTAACAAGTCATTTGGTCTCAAACTTTTACTGTACTTTTCCCACCATTACTTTGTCACTATACTGTGTGTGCAAACATCAACACCAGCAGTATAATAAGGCAATGTCTGCACATTCGGGCTTCGCTTCTCACCTGACTGTACGACTATGATATGCAGTTGGAGTCTCTGTGGGGAGTAACTGGACCAGGTGCTGACAGAGGCAGACAGCCAGTCTAGCAGCTGGCCCATATGTTGTCTATAGAGCGCCATCACTGAGTCCAGGCCCTGCATCTTACACAAGAACTGCACACTCTCCAAGGCCTGAGGGAGGGACAGGTGGAACAAAATAATGTGAGAAATACATTTTCAAGCTGCAATTCTTACTTGAAATTATAAAGAATTTAGTCCAAAGGAAGACAAAGACACATACAAACTAAAAGAAGAGTTAATGAAAGTAAGTGATAACAAGGCAGCGTTGTGTTTAAGTTGAACAGTTACAACAAGTTTTTTTTTTAAAGTCATTTCAGGAATTCTTAAGGTCATGCTCTCATGGCAGACAAAATCATCATGTGAGACCATGGGAAGAACAACACGGCAGACATGGCAAGGTCTCACACATAAAGCCACTATAAAGCCACTTAGAAACAAAAACTCTGACAAATACACAGCATGTAACAAGTAGAGGGACTGATGCACGCACACACACACACACACCAATAAAGCTGACAGGAAAGAGTATGAACGAGAGTATAGTAAATAATTAGCTGATTCTTTTGGGCAGGGGAACAGACTTTAAGGACACTTCATATTTCCCTTCATAGTCCCTCAGGGATGGACAGGGACAGAGACAATGTCTGAGTCACACATCGGCCCCTTCAGAAGAGAGCTAGACAACCCTGAGCTGTCCACTGATGGGAAAGACGTGCCCCTTTTCTGGGAAAACAAGTTCGACGTTTCCTCTGGGTCCGGGAATGCCCAAGGCCATTCTCACCCTCCCTCTCTTTCTTAATCCATTCCTTCCCATCTCTTCCAACACACCAATGCAGACAGATGTACACACACACACACACACACACACACACACACACACACACACACACACACACACACACACACACAAGGCCCATGTGGTGTCTGGTAAGCATCAGTGCCAATTTCTTCCCGCTTCTCTCCCTGTCATTAGCCTCCTACAGCAATGAGAAGTTAGGTGACACCCTGGCCCCAGATACTGCAGGTTTTCACTTGTTTGTCCCTCTGCATTTGGTGGCCGGCCACCACATGAAAGCTTGCTAGTTTTACGTATCCGTTTCCTTTTGCCACCTGCAGAGGCGTTGTGAAGCCACAAACGGCACTGGACTGATGACACACCTGCTAAGAAACACAACTGTCTGTTTTCCTTTCTCTATTTCTGTCTGTCTGTCTCTTTCTCCACTTTTCACACAGGCTGGATTTAAAGTTCCACTCCAAAGGTGCAACTTCAGCTCCTCTGGTTAAGTGGGTAATGCCCACTGTCAGCTATGCCCACTGTGAACCCATAGAAAATGCTGACATTCCTTTTGTATCATAAAACCTGCTCACCTTTCTAATAAAAGGGGTGTAAAAAGAATATTCAAGGAGAAAAGGTTTAAAAATTGTGCAATTTCAGAGCAGAACTGAAGAATTACACAGGTGAGCTAATATGCTGCTTTGCCCATGGTGAACAAAGTCATGGCAGTGCTCAGAGAGTATCTGGGATTGTGTTTCCATAATGATAATTTGTGTTTTCTCACCTTTTCACTGAGATGTGGTTCAGTGGAGAGACTCTGGGCAGTGACCAGCACCTGCAGCAGCTGCAGGCTGACCAAACCACAGTCTGACTCACACTGACGCAGAAGCACATTCACGCAGGCCAACAATTGCTCCAAGTACATAGCCTGGTGAAGAGGGAGAGAGGAAGAAGTAGTGTAAGGTTTTTTTTTTTTTAGCAAGTGTGAATCCTGTGAAAATGATTCGGCCTCAGTCTCTTTCAATGAATGCCTTGTGTAGTTCAGTTCTCACAGTCCTTGGTCCTTACTCAATTCTTCTCCACATTCTCTTCCACAGCACAGCATCTCCTTACTCTAACTGATAACGCAGCTTTTTAACCAAATAATTCCCTCCTAATCTGTGCAAGAAGCCATTTGTCTCTTATTTAATACAAAATAACTGAATGATCTACAAGACACAATAAAACAAAGCGAGAGCTTTCTTTCCAGCTCCAAGCACGAGCCTGTGTGAGACTGCTGTCACTTGTCAGCCAGTGCTGTGGTGGGCTTATGTTTAGATAAAGACCTGCGGCTAAGGCCAATTTCCACGCCATCACCGGGATCATGGCCTCTTTTCCTGTTTTCTCGCAGCCTGTCATTAGGGCTGGATGGCAGGGAGGGAGGGAGGAAACTGAGGGTGGAATGGAAGGTGTAAATGAGGTTGAGGGTTGAGAGGTAAAGGTGTTTGCTTTTGTCTGGTGAAAAAGAGTTGGGTAGCTGGGACTTTAATTTGTGGGAGCATGAAATCTCACTGAGCTTCACTGACAATTATAAGAGCCATCAGTAGGGGGTGCACTATGTTTTCCCAAATTTGAGTAACTATTGTACAGCTCAGCTTGGCGTTAGGAAATCGAGGTGTTGAGCCAGGACTGAGAAGAAAGCAAAGCTAAGGGACTTCTAGTTTGTGAGACACATGAGCAAATGTTTTATTTTGCGCACACTGGGGGAAAAAAAAATGGTTGTAATATGTTTCTGGAGCCCAGGGTGTTAGTTCAGTGTATAAACACATTTTCCGGAGACAGACTGAGGCTAAACTAAACTTACATTCAACCCTGAACAACTATGACTTGTCTTCATTTCTTCAGCTAACAAGACTCAAAATATGTACAAAGGCCAACTGCAATGGCTTCATTCCCTACTTATGTTAATGGGTTCAGGGAAATCCCTGTCCCTGGCACATAATCACAGCAGGAGCTCCAAGGAGGCAGTCATGGAAAAAAACATGACAAACATGGCAGACGTCCACATTAGAGTGCACGCATACAGACATTCATATTATACATGCACAGAAAACATCCAGGACAGAAAGAGGGAGAGTGGAAAATGTGTAATGATTAGGTGGACACCTGGAGGCAGGCATGATACACCTGGTTTCATTAGCCTGGACACACTCTAGGGGCCTTGTTACAGAGCGTGCGTGCATGCACGCACATCTGTCCACCACAGGATACATCAGTTACACACACACACACACACACACACACACACACCTCCACTTTAAGAATCCATACCAGGTGATGGATTCTGCTCCAGTAGGGAGCCCACTCCCCGCAGCTACTGATGTTGCTATGGCAACAGGAAAACAAACACTGGTGGTGGATGTAATGTTGACCCACTGCAGTCAGGTAAAGTTTACTCCCCTGCCTTTCTTCTCCTCTCACCATGTGTCATTCAGTGGAGCAATATGCAGCTGTCATACATGGCAAAGGGCAGGCGCACAGGAGACATTGATGTATGGAAGTATGTTTGTGTTATTTAGCCAAACACAAACTGTTGTAACATCCTGAGCAACTGTAGGTCAGGCAGTTTTTATAGAGATTAATCAAGACAGCATGTTCACTGTTAACAAGGCTAGTGGTAAATATGCCAACTGTCTCTCTCAGGCCTTACTTGCTACCATCTTTACCAATTTACTCCAGCCCTGCAGTTATAGTGATGCCTCCATCACCATGGTAACCCACAACACAGTGACACCCAGCTGTGCCAGGTGTGTGTATGCGGTGGGGGTTTGTTAATCCTCTGTGGAATACCCCTTTAAAAGGAAACCCACATGTGACTCACAAGTAAACATCCCATATAAACTACACAGGGTACCTCAGAACCACTGGTTCAGCTTTTTCTTTCCCTCAAGCCCTTCACATAATCTTCCATTTATGACCAATATTTTTATTTTTCACTGAGCATCTGCCATTTATTTTTGCAAGATGTCTTTTTCCCTTTTTGAAATAAAAAAAAGAAAACAAGGACTTGAAAGAGTCAGCAAAGTTAAGTCAGGGAGAAGCATCATATATCAGCTTCCAGTCTTTAGCTTCTTCCCCAAACTCCCCATGGCCTCTGTTCACTTTCAAGATTATTTATAAATCACTTTTTTTACAGGCTTCATTTTGTCCAAGTCAAACTTCACTTTTTCTTTCTGCCTTGGTTCAAGCGGCATGTGACTCTCAAGTTGAATCCAAACACATATTTTTAAGTTCTTAAGATGCCTTATTACAAAATAAAATAAAAACAAGGGTTCTGAGCGCGCTCTTTCCATTTTCATTGTTTATGTTTCTGCAGTTTATTAAACCAAATACAGGTAAATCAGTCACAGATGAAGGATATGTGGGCTAGCCAACACGTCCACTTGCTTGTTGCAACCTTATGGTAAGTGAGTGCACAATACTCTGGGTCAGCATTTCACCACAAAGCAAAACATGCAGGTGCTGCTGTCACCAGTGGTGTACAGTAATTTACAGCTACACAGTGATTTGGCCCTGCTCCCTGCTATGAACTTTGTCTACTGTCAAAGAATGTTGCAGATACTTTGTCTGGCTGAACTCTTGAATCACAACACTGTGATTTGCTCTAAGAAACAGAGACAGAAAGACAGACAGATGAGGAAACGAGCAGACAGGAAACAGGGGTCTGTCGCCATCTGTCCGACAACATGTGACTGTCCTATCCCTTTAGTTCTCTCACAGAGGACGGAAAGGGTGAGCTTCCCTCCCTATTTATAATGGGCCTTGAGCAGACAGGCTTAGAAATTCAGGGATTCTTTTAATGGCGTGGCTGAACCATAGCCCGGTGTTGAGACCCTATTCAATTCAATACAGTTCTATTTGTATAGTGCCAAATCACAACAAAAATCACCTCAAGACACCTTACAGTATTATAGAGAAAAGCCCATCAAATTCTCCTTGAGCAAGCACTTGGCGAATTGGGAAGAATGGCAAAAAAAAAAACAACAACAAAAAAACAGAGTATGCGCTGTATATTCTGCTCAGGGGGTCAGCGCAGCCATGCAGGGGTCACATGGAGTTAGTAGATTTTTGTTATTATTATCCCTGGGAGGAAATTCTTGGAGGCCTCACTGGGAGGGGGTGGAATCCTGGATATAGGTAAGTTGGTGCTGCAGCAGAAACAGAAAATAGCTCTTTGCCAGACAACTGTTATTTTGATTCTGAAAGGGAAACGTATTTGGTATAAGAGTAAAGGAAGCGGGAAAGAGCTTGCTCTGAACTTAGTGGGATTTTTCCCCTGGCAGACTTTTACTCATAGAGAAACTCCAAAGGCATTTTAAATAATTTTTTTCTGTTATGCAAAAAACAAAAAAAAAATGGGGAAAAGCTCAACATTGTGGGAGCACATTTCACAGTTGCATGTGAGCAGAAATGTTCTGATCACAGACTTGAAATGTTATATTTGAAAAACACCATGTGGCCCAGTCTGTCACTTCAGCAGGGTCGGAGAATCACTCAGCAGCAAACCCGTTGAACTCACAATGTGCAGTAGAGCTACTGAAAACTCTTAAAGACTCTTTAACTACAGCTCTTTTAAGAGATGCGTTTCTTATCATGAAACCTATTTGCATAAGGGACAAATTAGGCCAAAAATATACAGTATGACTGGTGCACTATCATCGCTAACAATAAGGGTGCTAAGGTACACAGAAAGAGGAGACAATGATCTTCTATGCCACTGCCAAGATCATCTGACAAAACTGAATGAGAAAAAGCTAGTGCACAAATGTAGTTGGCTCAAGACATGGCAACATTTTGGGTGCAGAGAAAATCTGTGCTCAAAACAAGTAAACATTTTAATATGTTAAAGGGCAACTTTTCCCCATCCACAGGAAAGTTTAGGTTGGGTGCTACATTGCTAAAATCATCTGAAGGATGTGGTTGTACTGGGTGTGAGTCAGGTAGATGCTGGCAAAAAACAGTCATTCTCAGGTAATTAAGGTAAAAACAGGTCAACCACAACCAAACACAAACATCCCCCTGCTGACCTGTTGATATTCCTGGCAGACGTCGGGCTGGGCCAGTGTGTTGGCAATCTGTTCGAGATGTGGTTTAAGGAGAGGTTTGGCGCAGCCTCCCAGTACCGCAGTCAGGACCATGATCGGGGCCCACGGGTGGGAAGAAGAGTAAGAGGTCGTCACATGATCTAGCAGCAGCTTGAGGAAAACAGCGGGAGGGACAAAGGTTCCCAAGAGTTTAGCAGCTGCCAGGCTCTAGATGTAAAAGAGAGAGAGAGAGGAAAAGGGTAATGAGAGACACAGCGTGTAAAGAAAGGCAAAAACAACAGGAAGTCCTTTGTGCAGTAATATGTTGAACATCTAGCAGCTGCCAGGCTCTAGATGTAAAAGAGAGAGAGAGAGGAAAAGGGTAATGAGAGACACAGCGTGTAAAGAAGGACAAGAACAACAGGAAGTCCTTTATGCAGTAATATGTTGAACATCAAAGGTCTATAGAACTGTCCTATGTAAACAGGTGCATCCCATGTCCCTGAACCCTGCTTAACCCAGTCTAAATTGAGGACAGCAACTGATACATCACTAGAAATGCACAACAGATGCGTCTTGAAATCATTACCTCTGGTAATAATTGAAATATCACAAAACTATTCCATTGTGTCAGAGTCTGAGAATTACTAAAAGTCACGTTAGAGGGTGGACAGTAGAGGCTGCAAATGCTGGGTACTGTGATCCTCGGCGTGGAGCAACAGCACAGAGAGCAGCTGAGAGGTCCTCACCCGTGTGGACACCAGCCAGTCAGTTACATCATGAGTAATGGCCGGCACAAGACGGCTGAGGTTTCTCACCACTAACTCTCTGCAGCCCAGCCCTGGACGCTCCACTGGAGGAGAAAATGAAGAACATTCACCTTCGCATGCTGTTCTACTGTTAGATATCACTTTGTGATTAAATGCATTTCACAAACAAGTTCATTTTTATTTAACCTTTTTGTATAACTCACTTCCTCTCAACCTTCTTCACCTACTTTGCTTTCAGTTAGTGATTTAATTGCTTTTCCAGATTTAATGAACAATTTCCAGGAGGGCAAATTGTTGACCTTCATTAAAGGCGCCTCAATGGGCATATACATATTGCTAGTGAGCCTTTTTTTATTTTATAAACAATGGAGACTCAAGTGCACATATGTTCTGGCTGCAATACATTGTCTCTGTGTGGTCTCTTTGTCTACCTTTTATGTGAACTTGTATTCTTTCTATATTATTACCTGAACACTAAGAAAGAGCGTATATTCATTCCCAGGTTGTCTGCTGACTAGACTCCAACTTGTCACATTTTCTACCTATAACATTTTTACAATTAAGACTACCCTACAAGGACTTGTCAGAGCAAGTGAAACACACTCTCAAATAGTTTTCAAATCCTTCATCACTCTCTCCACCCTCTGTCTCTTCTTCTGCCCCTCCCCTATTCTCCTTCTCCTATAGATCTACTAATAACAATGTAAGAGAGGACTAAAGTAAGACAGAGATAAATCAGAGAAACACACCAGGACAAGACAAAACAAGCCCCTTTCTGGTTGTCTCTCACTGTCTGACAGTGACCTCTTCACACTCGAAGGCCCGACAGATTTATGACAGCAAAAAAGAGAAAGACAAAGGGGAGAGAGAGACTCTGCCTTTCCTTTCCTGTCCCCAGGCATCGCCTATGTATTCATCTGTATTGTAATGTGTAGCAGAAGGACATGTATAGGAGCTTTAACCAAAATGACTTAGGAACTGCACTCTACACACACTTTAGCTTGGCCCTATAGGCAAGCCATGGTAATTATGTTCAGTTTCACACTTATTATCAGCCCCAAAGGCAAACATACTGTACATCTTTCCAAACTACTGCCTGCCCTGAAGATTAAGCTGTCATACTTAGCATTATTTCTGTATGCAATAGGCTTAGACAGCTGTAATAAAGAGAGATGATTTAATCCAGAAAGATGTAGCAATTACATTTACTCTCGTCATCGGTGTGTGAATGGGTGAATGTGTATGATCTCCTGTAAAGTGCTTTGACCAGTGTAACACACTGTGAAATATGCGCTATATAAATACAGTCCATTTACCATTTTACCATTTACATTCAAAATTTATGTTTGTTTTTAAATGGTTTGATGGGTTTTTTTCTTATCAATGGGGAGGGACAGATGAATCCAGTGCACAGGGAAACTCTACTGTGACACTGGAATGCAGACACCACTCCAACCTTATATTTAGGGCTGCACGATAAATAGTTTTGCGAGTGTGATTTAGATCCCAGTGTGATCTCAGTCTCATGTGACAATGATTTTGACAATGATTTACTATGTCTGCATTATGCCAGTTAAAATATTGGGTTTCTCAATTACCCGCTTTGTTTACAGTGTTACACTTTTTTCCATCGGTACATATACAATTGTCTACTTATCTATGGAGGAGAAATTCTAATTAATTAATGCTGTAGGGGTTCCCTGTGCTGTCCACTTTAGACACAACACCGGCAGCAGGAGGTGTGCACGTTCACAAACTGTCCAGAGGTACCCGAGATTAAACATTAAATGGCTGGAAACGAGCGCATGCCATCGGGACTTTAAGGTGGATTGAAAGGATTTTCGTGCTCAGGTTATTTCACTAGGAAAACCTCAGGTCTGTTTAGACAGTCTAGTCCATCACAGAGGTTCAACGTAGAGTTTCTTCCTCAGCGCTGTGTTGAAAAAATGCGACACTGGATGCAAATAAGAGCTTTGGTTGGCAGTAGTTAACAGTGACTGACCCCCTGCTGGGTAGAAGGGAGGTGGTGCAAGGAGAAAGTCCATCTTGTCCTTTATGTCATCCTCATTCTCCTTCTCCCACTGCGCGCCTACCTTCCTCCATAAATCAGCTGCTAGAAGTCTGCAAGAGGGGGCAGAAACACATATCCTCTCGGTCATCAACATGGTCACTGCCGTCAATATTATGCACTGTTTGACTGATTTTTAGATGAAAAATTATATACATGTACATCAGTGGGGATATGAAGTTAAGTAAATAGAAAAGAATGCCTGTATACACTTTTACCGTATTTCTGGGATCTCATCATCAGTGCTGCTCAGCAGGAGTGGGATGAGTTTGTGGAAATAAGAGTATCTGTCTCTCATGTTAAGTAGCCAGTTGCCAACAACTACAGTCACAGCTTTTCTCACCTGGATCAAAAGATTGCAAGACTGAGCAAGAGCACAGTGCAGTTTAGCATATGCATGTTTCATTGTGGAGGCATTGGTTTACCCAACCTCAGAACAGCGTGTTTTAATTCTGAAGACAGGCCTAAAGAAGAATAACTTAACTGCTGGTTCTAACAGTGGATTTTATGAAAAAAAAAACTGAACCTGTGGTGAATCATCAAATAGCCTCTGTGCCAGGTGCGAGAGCACATCATCCACATTCTTCCCTGTGCCATGCTGAATGACCGCACCAGTGGCTTCGATGACAGACACTCTTACTCGGGAGTGCTGATGAGTAATTGTCTGCATGAGAGGACTGACTAGACTCTCAGCCTGCATGTGAAAGTGCTCTGAGGAGAAAGAAGTGAAATCCATGTGAGCCAATTACATTCTATTACTGCAGAACTAGGGGACAGAGTGATATACAGTAATACAGTTGATTTTGTACTATAATACTAAATGCATCCTTAAACTGTGGTTACCAGAATATCATTATACAATGTCTTAGTGGAGTTACAGTTATTCACTGAAGACTGAATTTTTGATTGATAAGAAAGTGTGTCTGCTGAATTAATCTGTCAAAGCTTCTCATGTAAGCCATGCCTTACTTTAATGAAAATGTAGGAGTAGGGCAAGCACCTGCGTACACGTTTTGTGCCGCAAATATGTTTGCGTGCCTCGAAACCATGGCAACAGACTTAATTAACAAAACACCTTTCACCAACCTGGCACACAGTTCGCAAAATTTATTGTGCATTTGCAGCTTTCTCTTTTGACATCTGGGAAAGGGTCGACGATGGTTCTCTGCAGTATGTTGATCATTTCGTTCAGGTAGGGCGCTAAATGCTTCCCACACACCTCCACTATCAGAGTCAACATCTCCACGGCGCACAGTCGAAGCTCTTCCGCCGGCTCCATGATCTCTTTCTCCCCGAGTCTCTGAGCCAGGCAGGGTATGAGGTAAGGCAGTGACTCCTCCGGTTTAGGGACACAACGAATAAACTCCGTTATCACCGTTATCGCGGTTTCTCTGCATTTTTCCATCGGATCTGACAGACATTTGAGAAGTGGCTTGAGGAGGGCAGAGAAAACCTGTTGTAAGACGCTGCTGGAAAGTCCTTTGTCTACAGTCTCTCTCTTGATTTGCTCAAGAGCCCGCTTTCGTGTCGCCTTGTTTTCTTCATTAAGACAGTTTAAATGCCGAGCGAGACCTCGCAAAACTTCACAAGCAGCGTGATCGTCTCCAGCTGCCATCTTGACTGTCGTTATAGAAACCAGCAACTGTACGACAAACAAAAGCCTGCTTTACGATAGCTGCCGATTCAAATTCTCAAACTTTATTTGCATTCACAAACAACATTTCTTCAAAGCGCTACTTAAATCTAAACATTTCTGGTGTCAAAGCCTAATCAAAACTAAGAATACAAAATTCTAAGTTTGACTTTACTATTTATTATTATTTTGATGACTGCTCTCGTTTAGATCTAAGTTGGATATCCATCTGGGCAAAGTGAACAACTGCCCCAGTCCCCTAGCACTACTTTTTTTGTAATAAAGCGAGATAATCACTTGATATGAAGGACCATAGGACCAAGGAAAAATTCTGGATACACTTTCCTGCAGTGAGGCCAAAATATATTTCTTCAGAAGTCTAGGTTTATAGCTTTTATTTTATTTTATTATTTAAGTGGGACAGCTCAGTTGGTTGTTTTGGGGACAAGGTCAGAGAGGCCAGATTGAGATGGTTTGGACATGTGCAGAGGAGAGATAGTGTTATATTGGTAGAAGGATGGAGCTGCCAGGCAAGAGGTCAAGAGGAAGGCCAAAGAGGAGATATATGGATGTGCTAAAAGAGGACATGAAGTTAATTGGGGTGAGAGTAGAAGATGCCGAAGATAGAATTAGGTGGAAACAGATGATTCGCTGTGGCGACCCCTAACAGGAACAGACAAAAGTAGAAGAAGAAGAAGATTATTTCAGTTGATACTGAATGTGGTTAAAGGTGTTTATACCACTAGGCTACATGACATAAAAAACCTGATGTCTGGTAGCAGGCTATTTCAGGACACGTTTACTGGTTGAACTTTGTCCTGGCTTCAAGTAAAATAATAATAAGATGCAATGTGTAGCTATTCAGCTGTAACTTGTGGACAGAGAGTGAGAAGAACGGGGCCTCAGTAGAGTTCCACAGCTCCCTTTGCCAGTGCCCCCAGTCTACAAAGGATAAAGCAAAATGCAGTATTGTCATTCACTACCTAAAATCCACTGTAAATCACCCTAATATAAAATTTACATTGGCAGTTGGGTAGGAACAGGACAGGACCAGGCCTGCATTCAGGGGTGGCACAAACCCCAGCTGAATCTCATTGGCCACCCCTGGTGCATCGAATAAACAATATAACTGTAATACAAGTTTGTTAAGAGTTATGGATACAGACTGACTTGTCCATAAAGTGTATATTTGCAATACAGATGAAACTTGTTCATCATTATAGAAACACACAGCAGTTATTTTTAGTGCGGATGTTTCCTTTAAAGATTTTCCCCTGCAAACTGCCTGGCGCGTGCTTGGTGTTGCTGGTCTCGAGAGAGCGCCGCTGCGGTCGAGATGATGAGAGATTGACGTCATCGGGACTGACGCGGAGCTGAGGAGGTAGCAGAGAGATAGAGCAGCGGCAGCAGCAGCATCCCCGCTAACAAACGGTACATCACCTATATCCCCCACTACCAGCGAGGTGTTTTTATCACAGAGCGTCCTCTAAAAATAACGGTAGGGACAGCAGCCATAGCACTGATCGAACCGTTTGTCTGTGAACACTGAATAGCAGTTCAGATGTGGCCCTTGATAGCGTTTACGTCGTGGTAGTCGCAGTGATTCCCTGTCGTCTTGGTTTCGTTGTCATTGTAGGGTTAGCAAAGCTAGCTGGGTTAGCTGTCTATTGAATGCAGCTGCTCTGTTTCATCATTACCTTCAAAGTATACATGACAGAATTGTTATATGTAGGCTGTGCTTTTCCATTAGCTATGTAGAAACTGCACTCGGTAGATATCATGCCCTAAAGTTGTTAATGATTGTTATTTATTATGCGGTAAACCATATCATAGACGTGATTTATGTTTGAGGAAGTGATACAGCAACAGTTAAAAGCACCTGCTCTGCATCATGGCTTTTTATGAGACAGCGGATATATTATTTGACATGACTGTTGTCTGACATATTCATAGCTGTGAGTTGCCATACACCTTTAGACAATTGGCTTTACCCCAACCCGCTGAAGAGTTTACTTTCATAAATGCATTATCTGTTAAAGCACCAGTTTACAAAGTGTTCATGTTCGGTCAACTTCATCCACAAAGGCATATGCAATCAATGCATACACGTCCATGCATTAGTAACTTGTCAGCACAAGGAATGTACAGTATTTTGTATCATGTTTTAAATAGGCTTATATAATTTTATTTTAATGATAACCCTCGTTTGTGGGTGCCCTCTTTCACCAGCCATCTCTCAAAGGTATAGGTTTAAGCAAAAGATGAGCGTGTGTCTTCAGGTATATAATTTTACTAAGTCAAACACATAAAAGTGGGTGCTAAGAATAACAAAGAAAGGTACAGCTGCATCAACAGTTATGTTCATCTCATATTGTCATGTTGTGCTTAGGGCATTGCCAGCTGACAGCAGTCCATGTCATTGGATCCTTTGCAGAAAACATAAGCAACAGGGTGTGAAATGTTCAGTCACCTCCTTCCCACTGTCCACTGGTCCTCCATGCTCTCCCCTTGTCCCTGATTGTGCGATCCATATTTTGTCCTTCCCGTCTGTATTCTGTTTTCAGCCCTCTTCCTTCTTGCTACCTTGTTCTACCCTCATCTTGGTTCTCCTTTTTCCTCCCCTCCTCTCATGGTACATCCTGTTTTTTCCCAACTGTCACAGAGATAAAAGATAAGATGGCCACCGCCTCCACTCTGGAAGAAGATGAGAGTTTGAAGGGCTGTGAAATTTTTGTGCAGAAGCACAACATTCAGCAGATCCTCAAAGAGTGTATTGTGAACCTCTGCATCGCTAAGCCTGAGCGTCCCATGAAGTTCCTGCGGGAGCATTTTGAAAAGCTGGAGAAGGTTGGTGATAACTCTCTGTATGACTTTGGTTTGTCAGTCTGAGTCTCTATTTTGAAATGTGGAGCCATCTATTGCCTGAAGCCTTGGGGATTTTGAAATTCTTAATTATAATGTGCTTTTAACCTAAATGTAATATATTTGTGACATTACTGTTGATAGAAATGTGTGTAAGTTACCAAGTTGTGAGTTCTTCTCAGTTTTCTAATAATGTATCATAATACAGCCTATAGTAAGTGAATGAAATGGAGTTTATGTATAATATGGGTGGTCATTGCAGGCAATGGTGATAGGTGGAATGCAGTTTCAATGTTGTGGATATTTGAGTGTATTTAAAACATTGAGTGTGCTGAATTTTTCATGTGTACTGTACACAGTGCTGTTTTATTTGTTACAATAAATCTGTTCAGCTGATGTTTATAACATCATCACATGCAGAGATAAACAGAGCAACAACATCTCAACCAGCTACTGTGTTAAAAAACTGGACTGAAACCATCATAATAAAACTTTTGGTTTTTATCATATACGGTAATTGGAGAATCCATTACAGAATATGAAAGGAGCTCCCACAAAAGGCCAGTGTCCTGTTTGCAGGCTCAGGGAACAGGCTGAATCTGTTTATGAGCATAGAAGTGAAAGAAGTGTTACATTCATTAACAGATAGCAGCTACAGGGATCCAAGTACTAGTTGACTAGAAAACTGGTTAAAAGAGATGAAACCTCTGACGCATGTTCCCTGTGGGCCACTAACAACATTACTACACTGTATGTATTTAGGATGGGCATTTTGAGCTAAAATACAATTTGATTTTCACTGGGAACTATTCTGCAATTATTCAAAGATGTTTCTGCTGTTTGTATTTGATGCTGTAGTAAAATAATATGCCGACTTCGTTATCGCGTTATTTCCAGGCGCCGGTAAAAGGAAGTGAAGACAGTGGCTCTTTGTTTTTAAAGACAAAATCATAGTCAGATGAAAAATTTGACATTTCAAAATTTAATGACTATTTGAAACTCGTTGCCCATCCCTAGTATGTATAAGATTGCTTTTTGAGGGGAATAACTTGGCATCTGCTAGTAGTCATTGATAGGTTTAAAAATAGTAAATGTACCTAAGATTGTCAGGTTTTTAAGCCTATCATAGGATATATATATATATATATATAAAAACACTATTGTGTCTAATATGCAAATTAGCTTTAAAATAAGGTGCCACTGACTTTAGCCTGAACAAATGGTTTTTTCCAGCAACTGGCAGAGAGCCATATGGATAGTTTGCTAAGTGGGTCACAAGATTACTTGTTTGAGCGGTTTTTAAGCGTATCATAGGATATATATATATATATATATAAAAACACTATTGTGTCTAATATGCAAATTAGCTTTAAAATAAGGTGCCACTGACTTTAGCCTGAACAAATGGTTTTTTCCAGCAACTGGCAGAGAGCCATATGGATAGTTTGCTAAGTGGGTCACAAGATTACTTGTTTGAGCAATTCACTCTTACACTGCTGTTACAAATAGATCATATAAAGGTGTATGAGGAGGCGCTGTAGGCTGTTGATGTTGACCTGAAGAGAGTTCAGGTGTTGGAGAGACGTCTCCAACAAGAGAAATGATTGTTGAAGAGATATCAGATATAACAGAACTGAAGTTCACTGTCGTGATGCCTGATAGAGGGTCTCCATCCTTGCTGCATTGGTGTGTGTCTGTATTTGTGGTGGCAGGTGACAGTCATTTGATTTGATCCGTGTTTAAATTGACAAGTGATATTTGCCACAATCTTTTGTTTTCCTTAAAAAAATCAAAGGCTTAATTGTGTTAATAGTAGTAACAATGCCTGTGTGTTTAAGTAAATTATGCACATTTATTTATTTATTTATTGCCAAGGTATTTATTTAACCAGTCAGAATCAACAGTGTGCATCTGCAATATATTTCTGTAAGCCGAGGTGTTAGGACAGAATGTACAAAAAGTTTTAAGGTCAAGGCTGGACTGTCCTTTCTGTTCTAGTAATACATGACCTGCACTTGTTTATGTGTTTGCATCTGTCTGCTGTCATAATCTGGAGCAGTGGTCCACACGGAGGTCTGTGGTCAATGTCACTGTGTCAAAGCACAGCATGAGTAGTGGAGCTGTTTCTGTTGTTGGTGTGGACTGTAATGCTGCATA